AGGGGAGTTCCCCAAGTTTCCCCATCAGGTCCACTCCCAGACCCAGATCTCACGGGTGCCTGTGGGTGCTAGCTAGGCCCTTCCCCGGCATAATCCACCCTCCACTCTCCACCTTTATGTGTGCTGCTGGCAGATGATGCAGCCCAGTCTGCCGCACATCTTGTTTTTGTGTATGCCTGCTGGTGCCCAGTTCCCATGTGTGTCGATGATTATCATGGTCTTGCCCAGTTTGCTCATCACCACTCCCAGCTCCTGAGCAAACTAGTGGGTATTGCAGTCCCACAGAGCTGAGCCTGCAAATCGTCCACAGTATCTCCCCACAGACCTGGTTCTCTTCCAGGCTGGTTAGTGTCATGGCCCAGTCTAACATGACCCCTGCTCTGTGCTGACACACACTGGTGAGTACTGTGGTCTAGCCTTGCCAGGTGTGCCCCCAGCCCCATCTCAGTGAGTGCTTATGGGAGGTTGTCAATGTTAGTTAGCCCAGCTCAGGTCTCCTACATGGGCGGACACTTCTTCCACCTTTCCTCTTCCAAACCGGTTGGTCTCAGTCCCCTCCCTTACCTGCAAGTCCAGTGGTCTTATCAGTGGAAGTCTCCCAAAAGTCATTCATCACTTGTAATGTACTCTCTTAGTGGTCCCTTCTTCTGCATTTCCTATATCCTCTTCTAGAGCAATCCACAGCTTCCCTAGCCCAGTTTTCCTGCGGGGTGGTGTTGCCCTGGAACCCTGCCTGCCCACTCTGGGAGCCTACCACTCTGTCTTTCTGGAACCTAAGCAAATGCATGAGTCCCCAGGCCCATGCCAACATACCAGCTTGGGGTCCTACCTGCCTACCCACCTGCCCAAGACCCCAGTAGGGGTTCACGTCCCATAAGGACACCATATCAGTGTGCTAGTCTGGGGCATCACCCCCTCCCTGCCACCCAGAACCCAAGTGTGAGCTTTAGTGCCCAGGCTCTCTGCTGGCCCTGGCTCCCAGCACGATTTCCCAGCCCCGAAGTCCTTTGGGCAGCAGTGGAAGAAAGCAGGAAATTTTCATGCTACCCCATTCAACAAAGGAAAACACTGGCCACAGCCAGATGTCTTGCTGTCATTGTTAGGTTTCTCTGCAAGGCTACAGGCGGTAGGTTATAAGCTGGGAGATTTAGCCTTGGCCAAGACAACGATGGCTCTGATGGCTTTCTGTCAGCCAGGACTTGTCTTCTGGGCCCTGGCTCAGTCTGCAAGCCTTCTGACTAGCACATGATGTTATGGCACTGTCGCAGCATGGAATGTTGAAATACCACCTGAAATGCCTGTGTTTGACATGAGTGAAGGCTCATGACACTGCTGCCCACTTCCGGTCCAGCTCCCTGCTATTGCCTCTGGGAAGGCAGTGGGTGTCAGACAGCTGCTGGGGATCCTGCCACTCATGAGAGAGGCCTGGACAAAGTTCAGGATTCTGGCTGTGGTCAGTGAGTCCATCCTCTATTATATAGAGCTCATTGTCTGCTGAACCCCAACAACACCCTCTGGGAAAGGGGATGCTTCAAGGCACGTGTTACATTCCTGTTGACCTATTCATCAGTTACTGCAGATTCTTGATCGATATGTGGGACCCCGAGAGTTCTGAAAGTGAAGGTGTGCGCATTTCAAGTCTTGATGCTCTTGCGGTTGACTCCCAGAGTGAAGCACTTCCTCTGAAAGGTGGGTCCGTCTCTGAACGCGAGAACTTCCTTGTGGAATCTCACCCCTATGTCAGCTCATGCTTTCTCTTTTTTTTTTTTTTTTTTAAGATTTTTATTTTTATTATTTTGTTATTGGAAAGGCGGATATACAGAGAGGAGAGACAGAGAGGAAGATCTTCCATCCGATGATTCACTCCCCAAGTGAGCGCAACGGGTCGATACTACGCCGATCCGAAGCCAGGAGCCTCTTCCGGGTCTCCCACGCGGGTGCAGGTTCCCAAAGCCCTGGGCCGTCCTCGACTGCTTTCCCAGGCCACAAGCAGGGAGCTGGAAGGGAAGCGGGGCTGCCGGGATTAGAACCGGCGCCCATATGGGATCCTGGGCGTGCAAGGCGAGGACCTTTAACCACTTGCGCCACCGCGCCGGGCCCAGCTCATGCTTTCTCCTGGGCGGCTTCCCACCACACACACTACAGCATTAGATGACAATCCTGCAGAGGGCGCTGGTGCTCAACTGATTATGTTCAGGAAATGGAAGGGTAGTAAATAATTAGGAAATGCATTTCAGATAGTAAGGCTGAAACAGAACAAGATGGAATGAAGGTGTCCACAACCCTTACAGAACACGGCATGAAATTTTAAACGACATCGAGTGAAAGGAGCTCAAACTAACTTCACTTGTATAGTGATGGCATTGATGTGAAAATGACAAGGAGCAGGGTTTGGGTTCCAAGAACTCTGTTAGTATCCCCCGTACTTCCCAGCTTCCCAGGTTAACGGGAGGGAGGCAAGTGGGACTCAACTACGGCAAAAACCTATTCCCAGGGGGTGAGGAAAAGAAACGCAGCTCCTAGTCTTTCTCCTTTTCATGGCCTATCACTGCCTAGCCAATGGCCACCTGTAGAAGGAATTCTTGCGTTCTGCACCCCTCTATCACTGTATGCAGTTTAAATGATGATGCCCTAACTCTTCGCATCCTTGGCACAGAATTCTCGCAGTAAAATGAATCTGGTCTGCTTTTCCAGTCCCGAAGAAGGCTTTTTATGTTCTCCCTTCTTCTTCTTCTTCTTCTTTTTTAAAGATTTATTTATTTTTATTACAAAGTCAGATATACGGAGAGGAGGAGAGACAGAGAGGAAGATCTTCCGTCCGATGATTCACTCCCCAAGTGAGTGCAACGGCTGGTGCTGTGATGATCCGAAGCCAGGATCCAGGAACCTCTTCCTCCGGGTCTCCCACATGGGTGCAGGGTCCCAAGGCTTTGGGCTGTCCTCGACTGCTTTCCCAGGCCACAAGTAGGGAGCTGGATGGGAAGTGGAGCTGCTGGGATTAGAACCGGCACCCATATAGGATCCCGGTGCGTTCAAGGTGAGGACTTTAGCTGCTAGGCCACACTGCTGGGCCCTCCTTTTTTTTAATTTTTAAATTTTTTTAAAAAATTTTTTATTGGAAATGCAGATATACAGAGAGGAGAGACAAAGAGGAAGATCTTCCATCCAATGATCCACTCCCCAAGTGACTGCAGCGGCTGGAGCTGAGCCACTCCGAAGCCAGGAGCCTCTTCAGGGTCTCCCACGCAGGTGCAGGATCCCAAAGCTTAGGGCCGTCCTCGACTGCTTTCCCGGGCCACAAGCAGGGAGCTGGATGGGAAGTGGAGCTGCCAGAATCAGAACTGGTGCTGAAATGGGATCCAGGTGCGTTCAAGGCAAGGACTTTAGCTGCTAGGTACCGCGCCAGGCCTTTTTTGTTTGTTTGTTTGATTGATTTTTTTTTTTTGCAAAGTGATACACAGAGAGGAGGAGAGACAGAGAGGAAGACGGATGGATGAAGATTTAAATATCTATAATCAAGCAACTCTAAGCCCACTATTTTTTCAAAGATTTTACTGATTTTTATTGGAAAGTCAGATTTCAGAGAGAAGGAGAGACAGAGGGAGAAAGATCTTCCATTTGCTGGTTCACTCCCCCACACGGCAGCAACGGCCAGAGCTGAGATGATTCTAAGTCATGAGCCAGGAGTTTCTTTCAGATCTTCCACACGGGGAGTTAGGCCATCCCTGGCCCTAGGCAAACAGCTGGATCAGAAAGGCAGCAGCTGGGACTAGAATTGCTGTCCATATGGGGTGTCCGCGCTGGCAGGTGGAAGATTGGCCTCATGAGCCACTGTGCCGCCCCCAAATCCATTTACTACAAGAGACAGGAGCAGATATAAACGGAGAACTTCATATGAACCGGCTTCTAAAAAATGATAAAATGCAAAATGCATGCATGTATCTGAGAATTCACAGCAATTCGGTATTACTTTGAAATAAACAGAAGGAAAAAAAGGAACATGTGCTAGCACCAAGGCTGGGACTCAGGATGTCATTCCTGGACAATCTTTGATCCTGTGTGGATTGTCATTGTCATTCTATTGTGGAAGTGTCCTCCTCTACCCCTCCCACCAAGCACGACACAGCTGGACCTTTAGAAACTGACGCACAAGAGGAGAGAATTCCTTCCGCCACTCTCGGATTTGGATGGATTCTAGACTTCCTAGCCACACTCCTATTGCGAACTGCAAATTTCACCTCAGTTTCCTCTTTGGAATTCAGTGATAATATTGTCCCCAAATTAACATGAAAGTTAAATGAGATGATGCGTGGCATTTAGTCCTTAATCTGGCTCCTAGGAGATACTGAGGAATGCTACCTCTCCATGCAGTTCCCTTGAAAATGGTGTAAAATGAGTCAGGAAAAAGCAAAGCAAAACAAACTGTGAGCACTCACAAAACGCCAATAAAAATTTAGCTTTAAGTCTATAGGCTAAACTCTGCCGTCCGCCGATCCTCTAAAATTCTAGTGTTTTCACAGTACTTGCTATGTGGTTGTTACAGGCATTGAGAGAACCCCCGTTGAGGCTGTGGGTATGAGTTTTCAGGAAGAAGTTTATGAAGCTTATGAAGAAGGCAGGATTTGCTGTCAGCAGCAGTGGCCTCACGGATTTGGTTCAAGCCAAATGAGCACCCACCAGTCCTTCTGACGGAGGGAAAGGAAGGCAGGGCCAGTACTAAAGCAACGGCCTCAGTCTCCCCGAGCTGGATGCTTTGAAGCTAGCCCTAACCCTCGGGGAGGACCAGCAGGTTGACAGGCCGAGGAGCGCCTGGGCCTGGACTCCATTTCCCAGAGTTCCGAGGTGCCCTCGGAGCTCCGAGGACGTGTGCGTAGGAGGATGCGTGCGTGCTGGTGTGCGCTGGGCCTCCGGGTGAGTTCCGGGTGCCGGGAGGTTTATTCGCTGAAGGGAACCGGTGCGGAGCGGCCGCGCGGCTCGTTCCTGCCCGGCTCCCGGCGCTGCCCTTTCGGCTCCCAGGGAGCGTGCAGGCGCACAGCTGGCCTGCTGTCGGCGGCTGGCGCGTGCGCGCGTGCGCCGCGGCTTCACCTGTGCGCCCTCGGAGCGCGGCCCTGCTCCCCGGCTGCTTCCACGGCAAGTACGCCGGCCGAGCCTGGGGGAGGGGAGGGTGCACGGGCGCTTGGCAGCTCACTTTGTGGGTGCGCCTCTGGATGCGCCTCCGAGGGATCCAGGTGGGCGGAGTGTGAGCGGCGGCGGAGCGGGCTGAGCCAGCCTGACAGCCGCCTGCCAGCTCTCGGCGCGCCCTGCGCCCTGTTTCACGCAGGCTTCCCGGAGGGAGTGCGTCCCAGTTAGGGGGCTCGAGGGCGAGAGACCCGACTGGGAGACTGGGCGGGGAGCACGGCGAGAGGACAGACAGCCAGGGGACTCAGCGGGACTCCTGCTCGTCATGTTTTCGTGAGGTCGTTACCGCTTCCTCGCGTGGCCGGGCTTCACGGTGTGTCCCGCGGCGGCTGGCGGGGTGGGGTGGGCATTGAGTGGCGTTCCGTGGGGGAGCCCGAGGCAGCTGGCGGGATGGGCGAGGACGACACCCTCATTCTACTGGAGGTCTCGGGTACCAGGCGTGTAGGCTGTGCCCTGGTTCTGTGGATCGGTGCCTCCTCCTGTCCAGTGACTTCCTGCAGTCCGAGTTCGAAGCGGTGGAAAAGTAGCTGCTTTCCAAATGCTTTTTTTTTTTCTATTCCCGTTTTCAGCTTTTCTCTGTCCAAACGGGATGTCATCTGTCACTACTTCTACTGATCCCTGTGCCAAGTTGAGAAGTGAACTGAAGTGAAGGTAAGTCTCCTCCTGTGGCCGGTAACTGGCGTGCTTTGCATGCGGGTTTGCGGGAATAGCTGTGAGAACATTCGAGCTCAAAGGTCCCACTCGTCCCTTGCCACCTTTTATCCACCCCAGTGCCCCACCCAGCTGCTTACCAAAGTTTGTAGTTTTGAATGAAGAAGCGAAGTTTTCTTACTTTGGGTTCCATGTTTAAGGGCATGGCGTTTTTTGGCATTGGGAGCACAGTACCTGTAGATTTGTGATTTGTGGTAATGATTGTGAATGATCAGTAAATGATCAGGTCTGAGTAATTCATTGTTCTGTTGGAGTGTCTGGTGGTGTCCTTTTGTACTGTGAGCCCATCTGGGCAGTAGACGCAGGACCCACGTCGGTGGTCGGATGCATGTGCCGGCGTTCTTGCTCCCACCAGCCCTGTGCTGCCCTTCCTGCTTCTCCTGTTATATGCGTGTCAATGGGAAAGCAGTAAGCATTGCCAGTGTGAAGACATGCCGTGAGCACATTTTGCGAGTAGCCTTCATTTGATTTGGAAACGGACAAGACTGGGATTCTTAGACTTGTGAGGCTAGCTGACTTGAGCAGCTTGTCCCCTGTGCTGATGTAAGTTGCTTGGAGGAGAAGTTCGGAAGACAAGTCGTTTTGTAACAGGGGATGCATAACGTGGTGTTGCAGAAATGTTCTGGATCCAATCCAGCTGGTGCGCACGCATGCGAGAAGGTTGTGGAGGCCAGGTGCGGCAGTGAGGAGGGGAGCAGGGCCGTGCCTGGCAGCCTTGGGAGGACCCGAGGGTCCTCTGATGTGTCCCTACTCTGAGGACTGACACACAGGATTGCAGAGAAAGGACTTGTGGCAGAATTCTGTGGTTGCACTCGTTGAAACTGAGCACCTCTGGGCGCTCAGTGTGGAGCGCCACATTCTGTTTCAACACTCTGAATGTGTAGGCGAGAGGGTGTGAGATGGTGTGACTCCCATCTTGCCGTAAGATGGAGTCAGTCTGGTTTTTGTTCCTGAGGCTGTTGGAGTTCCTCCCGCTTGGTAATTTAGCAATGATGTGTTTTAAAAAAGGGTGCCAGGAAGGAAGCAGTTTGAAGGAGGCCATTCATTTTCTCGTTACAAGTCATTGATAAATGTTACGGGAGGGGATGGTTTGCGTGAAGCCAGGAGGATTCATCTGCAGTAGAACAGGTTTTTCTGGGGGAATAGCTAAAACATTGCATAGTGCAGCACACAGTCGGGACCATAACGTTAGGGGAGGGTCAGCCTGATGAGCCATGCTGGTAGCCCCCAGCGTGTATTTTTGAAGTCAGTAAGTTAGTCTATCCTGGCTGTTGATAAATAGGCTTTATCCCATCTCTTATTCAGTATACTTGTTTAAAACATTGTTGTTCTTGCTGTTTATTTGAAAGGAAGAGTTATGCACACAGACGGCAAGAAAGGAAGGAGGAAGAGAGGCATTCTGTCTCCATTGACTGATTTGTTCCCCAGATAGTCACAGAGGCTGGACCAAGCGTCCCAGAGCTCCATCCTGCTCTCCGACGTGGATGACAAGGGTGCAAATACTTAGTTCATCTTCCTTCCCAGGAGCAGTAGCCAGGAACTGGCTTGAAAGTGGAGCAGCTAGGAGTGAATGAATGGGATGCGGGCATTGCAAACAGTGGTTTATCCCAATATACCACAGAAATGGAAAGAAGCCTCTTCTAACTACATTTGGTTCCAGGGACCTTCAATGAGTATCAGCTCTGACTGTGACCATATCAGAGCAGAAGCCAGAAATTCATTACGATTTTGCCCTAACTGAAAGAGTGAGGAAATTCAGCTATGGGTCATATGAGGTCCATGATATCATTTGGTCTGATTCCAAGAAGCCATAGAGAAATTTGATATTCAAAGTAGTGTATGGCAGGCCACCTCTTTTTTTTTTTTTTTAATTTTTATTGCAAAGTCAGATGTATATAGGGAGGAGGAGAGACAGAGAGGAAGATCTTCTGTCCGATGATTCACTCCCCAACCCAAGTGACCACAACGGCTGGAGCTGCACTGATCTGAAGCCAGGAACTCTTCCGAGTCTCCCACATGGGTGCAGGGTCCCAAAGTTTTGGGCCGTCCTCGACTGCTTTCCCAGGCCACAAGCAGGGAACTAGAAGGGAAGTGGGGCTGCTGGGATTAGAACCTGTTCCCATATGGGATCCCAGCATGTTCAAGGCGAGGACTTTAGCCACTAGGCCACACGCTGGGCCTGGTGGGCCACTTCTTAAGTTGATAGTTTTGTGTAGCCCCTAAATGAAGTTGTGAGTACCCAAATGGCTCTGTTTTGTTTGAAAGAGAAAACTTCCCCACCTCTGCAAAACAATGGCAAGGCAAAGGCAAATTACAGATCTATTTAAGAGGGAGAGTGTTACTAAATGCGATTGCCAGTTCTTTGGAAGACAAATAATTCTAGAGGACATGTGTTAATGACACCCGTTATGTTTTAAAATGTTTCCGGAGATGCTGGACAGTTTGTTAAAAAGATTTTATTCTTTCTCATAAAAGAGAAGTGGGGATCCTGTGTAATGTGAAGGCAGGTGTACCAAGAAATAACAGTGGATTACATGGAACCTGTTTCTGAAAACAGTGTTAGATGGCCAGGGAAGATGCATGTTTGTGTCTGTGCCAGAGCGTGGAGTAGTATCCTTTGAGTAACTTGCAACAGCTCATGTATATTGGTCCTCATCTGCGTGAGTATGATGCGGGAATTTCTCAGCATCGTGGCCTTGGGGGAGACAAAGAGAGGATGCATAGGTGGAGAAGTTACGTAGGCAGAAACTGGTCCAGCCCACCGTGAGGGCTCAAAATACAGACCTCCGCATGGCTCCACTGGGTGGCGTGGCCTGGTCCTGCTTTCTCAGGGAGTAGTGTATGTGAGGGTATGGCTTGGTGTACTTTGAGTGGGGTGTGCACAGACGTGTGTCAGCGCTGTGTGTGTCACAGGACAGTGCCCTACACAGACCCACATCATCGCTGTGTGTGTCACAGGACGGCACTGTGCACAGACCCGTGTCAGTGCTGTGCATGTCACAGGATTTTCCAGAGGCATGGGGGTCTGCTCCTGCTGTTGCCCCTCTCAAGATCCTTGGCATCTCTTACTGGGCATGTGTGAACCAGACCGTTGGAGGCTAACCCACTTGGAGTTTCCTGTTTCTGACTGCCAGGAACACTGCTTAGATCGAAGATGCCACTTAGCCTCTCTCCCTGGGAAGATAGTTTCTTGTTGAAAAGCCTCTGATGTCCTTATGCTGCGTGTCTGTCCTACCTTCCCACCCTTTGTCATCCCTGGCCCTGCTGGTTTTGGCGTCTGTAGCCAAGGCCACTTGGTGTGTGCCCATCCTTGGCAGCAGCCGCGAGGCTTCCATGTCTCTTTCCCGCTAGGCAGAGTTGTGGACATTGCATTCAGCAATGGCTCCTAACTTTGCTTCTTTGTGCCAGGAGCAAGGTGCAGTGCCAGGCACCTGTGGCAGCTGTGATTTCCTGCCTTCCTTACTGTACTTCCGTCCTCTGTCGACACTGCACTGCAGTCCGCATGCGAATCTTGGGGCGGGGAGGGGGCTTTCCACCGCGTGTCTCCCACTGAATTCTGGGGCAGGAAGGGGACTTTCCATTGCATGTCTCCCACTGAATCCTGGGATGGGGGGGAACCTTTCCACTTCGTGTCTCCCACTGAATCCTGGGATGGGGAGGCTTTCCACCACGTGTCTCCCATTGAATCCTGGGGGGGGGCACTTTCCATCTCATGTCTCCCACTAAATCCTGAGAGGGGGGCTTTCCACTGAATCCTGTGTGTGGGGGAGGCTTTCTACCCCGTGTCTCCCATTGAATCCTGGGGTGGGGGGACTTTCCAACCCGTGTCTCCCATTGAGTTCAAGAAGAACCGTCAACCCACTTTTCTGCCAGTCTTACCAGGTAAGAATTGCCATGCCAGAGTCCCCACCCTTTTGCTTCCCTGGGGCAGGTGCCAGGGGATAGGACTAGGGTCAAAGGTGCCAGCTTTGCTTCCTTTGCTCACTTAATGGTGATGATACTGAGAAGGATCTGACCATCTGACCTCCTTTTCTCCTTTAAGATTTATTTATTTTTATTGCAAAGTTATATATATATAGAGGAGGAGAGACAGAGAGGAAGATCTTCGTCCGCTGTTTCACTCCCCAGGTGATCACAATGGCTAATCTGAAGCCAGGAGCCAGAAGCCTCTCCCAGGTCTCCCATGTGGGTACAGGGTCCCAAGCTTTGGGCCTTCCTCTGCCATTCTCCCAGGACACAAGCAGCAAGCTGGATGGCAAGTAGAGCAACCCAGACTTGAACCACCACCCATACGGGATTCCGGCATGTGCAAGGCAAGGATTTAGCCACTCAGCCATTGTGCTGGGCCCCTCTGGCTTCCTTCCTAATGGGGATCCTCCCTTGGCTCAGAGGATGGAATGACAGATTGTAAAGGTTGCTGGGTGCTCGTCTTGGGCCCACATGGTGGGCTGGACACAGCTGTCCTGTGTGCCTGCTGTCTGCTTCGTGTCCACAGCTATTGTAAATTCCTCTTCATGAAGTGGGCTTTCTCATTTTTTTTGGCTGATTTGGCTCTTGTACACTAACAGGCATCGGCCGGCATCTGGTGGACCTGTTCAGTGAACCTGTTCAATGCAGTGTAGCAGTTCAACCAAAGTAACTGTGAAATGAACTGATTGTGTAAGTTGCTCACATTTGGTGTTGCAAAATGCTGTGTCTTATATTTCAGTGTCTCTGAGCTGGTGGCTTGCATTCAGGGCACACGTCCCCTCAGGAACAGTACACTTTCTGGCTTGTTCTGTCTCTGGCTGTGGCTCCTCTTCCATTTTTTCCCTTTCCTTTTTAGAATTTATTCACTTTTATTTGAAAGGCAGATTCAGAAGGAGAAGGAAAGAGAGCAAGGGATCTTCCATCCACTTGTTCTCTCCCCAAATATTGTAATGACCAGTGCTGGGCTGCTT